TCCTCTCTGTAAAAAATCAATAAAATATATATTTAAAAAAAATAAAAAATAAAAAATAAAATTATTCTTGAGATGCACACTTATTTGACTTCAGGCCCTAAAGGATTCTTAATAGGGCTGTTTTAAAGATACTGGTACCCATCAGGGAATAATAATATATGGAACTTAGAATTTAAAAATGATCAAGTTTATCTGCACATGTTGATGAATCAATTTAACAAGTGTTCACTGAATACCTATATCTAGGTACTATGAAAAATACCATATAAGTAAAACACACATTCTCATCTCAGAGAGTTTAAAATCTGAAGACATAGATAAAACAAAAACATAATTAGCTACAAAAACCCCGCCATTAGAAACTTAGAAATAATATGTACCACATGCACTCATTTACCCATCCTTCCAACATTTATAAAGCAATAATCAGTACTAATATTTGGTATAAAAAGATTAAGGTCAACTAAATTACATTAGAAATAACTGAACAAATTTCTATAAAGGTGGGCTATTTAAATAAAAGCTAAGATTTTTTAAAATTTAAATTATTGTTTAAAACATTACATGTCTCCTTTCCCCCCCCACTGACCTCTCCCCAGCTGCTCCCGCCCTCCCCCACTATTGTCTGTGTCCATTGGTTATGCTCTTATGCATGCATACAAGTCCTTTGGTTGATCTCTTAGTCCCCCTTCCCCCGCCTTCCCTCTTAGGTTGGACAGTCTGTTCTATGTCTCTAGATATATTTTTGTTCATCAGTTTATGATGTTCATTATATTCCACAAATGAGTGAGATCATGTGATATTTATATTTCTCTGGTTATTTCGCTTAGCATAAAGCTCTCCATATTCATCCATGCTGTTGCAAATGGTAAGAGTCCCTTCTTTTTTATAGCAGCGTAGTATTCCATCGTGTAGATGTACCACAGTTTTCTAATCCACTCATCTGCTGATGGGCACTTAGGCTGTTTACAAATCTTAGCTATTGTAAATTGTGCTGCTATGAACATAGGGGTGCATATATCCTTCCTGATTGGTGTTTCTGATTTCTTGGGATATATTCCTAGAAGTGGGATTACTGAGTGAAATGGGAGCTCCATTTTTAATTTTCTGAGGAAGCTCCTTACTGTTCTCCACAGTGGCTGCACCGGTCTGCATTCCCACGAGCAGTGCACGAGGGTTCTTTTTTCTCCACAGCCTCGCCAGCACTTGTCGTTTGTTGATTATAGCAATTCTGACAGGTGTGAGATGATACCTCATTGTCATTTTGATTTCCATCTCTTGGATGATTAGTGACTTTGAGCATGTTTTCATATGTCTCTTTGGCCTTCTGTATGTCCTCTTTCAAAAAGTGTCTACTTAGGTCCTTTGCCCATTTTTTGATTGGACTATTTATCTTTTGTTAAGATGTATGAGTTCCCTGTAAATTTTGGAGAATAGGCCCCTATTGGAGATAACATTGGCAAGTATGTTCTCCCATGCAGTGGGCCATCTTGTTTTGTTGTTGATGGTTTCTTTTGCTGTGCAGAAGCTTTTTATTTTGATGTAGTCCCATTTGTTTATTTTCTCTTTAGTTTCCATTGCCCTAGGAACTGTATCAGTAAAGATATTGCTACGACATATGTCTGATATTTTGCTGCCTATGGATTCTTCTAAGATTTTTATGGTTTCCCCCTTATGTTTAAGTCCTTTATCCATTTTGAGTTTATTTTTGTGTATGGTGTAAGTTGGTGTTCTAGTTTCTTTTTTTTTGTATGTATCTGTCCAATTTTCCCAATACCATTTGTTGAAGAGACTGTCTTGGTTCCATTGAATGTTTTGCCTCCTTTGTCAAATATTAATTGAACAAATGGCTTGGGTCTATTTCTGGGTTCTCTGTTCTGTTGCATTGGTCTATATGTCTGTTCTTGTGCCAGTACCAGGCAGTTTTGAGAACAGTGGCTTTGTAATATAGCTTGATATTTGGTATTGTGATCCCTCCAATTTTGTTCTTTCTCAGGATTGCTGTGGCTATTCGGGATCTTTTTTATTCCATATGAATTTTTGGAGAGTTTGTTCTAGGTCTGTGAAATATGCCCTTAGTATTTTAATGGGGATTGCATTGAATCTATAGATTGCTTTGGGTAGTATGGACATTTTAATGATGTTGAGTCTACCAATCCACGAACAGGGTATATATTCTTCCATTTGTTTATGTCTTCCTTGATCTCTTTTTTTCTATGTCCTGTAGTTTTCCCAGTACAGATCTTTTACTTCCTTAGTTAAGTTTGTTCCTAGGTATCAATTTTTTTGGTGCAATGGTAAATGGGATTGGTTTTTTCATTGCTCTTTTTGTGAATTTTTTATTGGTGTATAAAAAAGCCATAGATTTCTGGGTGTTAATTTTGTATCCTACTACATTTATTAAAATCTAGTAGTTTTCTTTAAACTGACAAATGATTATCAAATAATACAAAAATAACAAAGATAGAAGTAAAAAAAATCACCTTAAACTTTACTATTCATAAATTATTAGGTAAACATTTTGCAGACATCATTCTATGAGTATGTCCAAAACAGAAATAGGAATAGAAATATTTTCATTAAAATATGGGATAAAACTATGTCTTTTTATTTTAAAAATCTATTTTACTTTCTATAGAAGAAAATGAAACTGAATAAACTATTTTTGCTCACAGAGAAACATTATTTATTTAGAAAATAATTTCCAAGTGACTGCATCTATGTTGAGGGAGCAACCATGAAGAAAAAGAATACCTGCAGATTTTATTTAGATATGTTTATCGTTATATAAAGGTATTTGCTGGAGACTTCATGAATTGGTAAAGAACATCCCACCAAAATGAAAGACTTACAGAATGTTATCTGAGTATTCACCTCACCCAAAGAAGTGATTTGCACATCTGATACTCAATTTCAATTCCTAGTTGTCTAGAGCAGAGGTCAGCAGAAGTTTTCTGTAAAGAGCAAAACCCTGTGGGCTGTGTTAATTTTCTACTGATGTCTAATAAGTTACTTCAAACTGTAGGTTTAAAAATGTCCACTTATTATCTCACTGTTTCTGTAGGTCGGAGTCTGGGTGGGTTCAACTGGGTTCTCTGTAAAGGGTCTCACAAGGCTTTGATCAAGGTGTTGGCTCAGCTGGGGTCTTATCTGGAGGCTCCGGGGGAAGAATATTCTTCCAAGTTCATTCAGGTCCTTGCAGTTGTAGAACTGAGGTCCCTACATTCTTGCTGGTGGTTGGCTAGAGGCTGCTCCACGGTCCTTCTACCATGACCCACTCCGTCTCAGCAACGAAGAACTTCGTGTTGAATCTCACTAATGCTTTAAATCTATTTTTTCTGCTACAAATCATAGAAAACTCTTTGCTTTTCAAGGGTTCAATTAATTGAGTTAGGCACACCCAGATAATACATTATCTCAATGTCAACTAATTAGTAACTTTAATTACATTTTCAAAATCCCTTTGCCATATTAAATAACATAATCATAGGAGTAATACCAGGGAATGAAGGTCATGAGGACCATCTTAGAATTATGCCTACCACAGTCTGCCTTCTGGCCTCCATGATTCAAATACATCCCACTTGTAAAATGTATTCCCCCAGTACAAGGTTCCCAAAAGTCTCATCCTATTACATTATCAGTTCAAAGTAATAAGTCCCTATTCTTGAATCAAAATCTCATCATCTCAAAGTCCAAAATCTTATCCAAATTACAGCTCCTGATGTAATCCATTAGCACAACTTCTTCCTATTTATGAACCTATGTAACTAAAGAAGTTAGTTATTTGCCACAAACACTTCCAACATTTAAAAACCAAAAGGTGACAACATAGTATATCCCTATCGGTTCGTAGGATAACACTTAAGTCTTTAGTAGGGAAATTGATAATTTGTTATAATTTTAAATTTCAGAATTGATAATTCAGAAAATGCCTTTAAAAAAATTAAATCAGGAATTTAGAAGAGAGAAAAAAGTGAAGGCCAATTAAATATTCTGCCACTCTTAATGAAAACATTTAAAAATCACATTATTTGGTCTGAGTGGCCAGTAGGTAAAATGGTATGGGGTTCTACTGTGAATGATATTCCGATATGATCAAAAGCTGCATGGTACAAATTCAATGAGACTCTAATCTTGGACTTATGCTTACACTTTTCAAAGCTTAACAACAACCCTAAAATATTATATTTTAAAATAATGTATCAATCTCTTCTGAAATCTGTGTATTTATATTATAAAAAGTTCAGTATAACAGATGAGCAAATATCATAATTTAATTTATAGCACATCACAGATTTTCTCATAATCTAAGTAACAGTGTGGCATAATGCATCTCCCTGGTTTAAGTAAACAGTGCAACTCTCTGGTGATCTGCAGTGGCTTGTAGGAATTTAGTTTAAAAATATGAAGAGAGAGAGAGAGACTTGTGTGTGATCAGAACCTGGAGGAAAACAGAGAAAAGGGAGAACAGATGATGGTACTAAATTTAAGTATTCTTCCAGAAACACTACAAAAATCTTTGTATAAAAAGGTGGAAAATATAATGAGGTCATGCTTTTGAAGTTTTAAAAATTATTTCATAGCAGTTCTGGAATTATAATCAGTCCTGACCTACGCAGCAGTACATATTCTATACGAGCAAATAATATCAAACATATGGAGCTAGATCGTTCTTAATGCATCACATAGTTTTAACCTGGAAAGAAAACAATGTATTCTATAAGGAGTTCAGATGATGTCATAATCAACCATCTAATGTTTAACAAAGGAGCAAATGTTTAAGACAACTGGGCTAGACCCTGAGAAGGATAAAATACATAAGATAAATCATATATAATCTTCAAGGGCAACTTTATAGATGAGAAAAAAATTATACCTACCTATTCAGGGCTTAGAAATTTTGTAAAAATATGGTTATTGGGCTTATCGGATTAAAATTGTGCATTTCATAGACCTTGAACTTAAACTGTATTTGGGCTATTTGATCAGATACTCACAGAATGATTGTAAGAAGGTTCCAATATCACAGGTAATGACATTTTCCCTTGAAGATTCAATTTTGTTAAATAAAAAATCTTTTCCCCCACCATCTTTTCTTTTTTCATGCGATGTACACCATACAGTCTAAATCGAACTGCATAATTTCCAATCATCTCAGATTCAACATGGTTAAATTTGAATGTTTCTGTGAAGACAGGGCATGGTCCTCTCTGGATGCTGGTTTTTGCTCTCTGTTTCTTTATAGGTAGAAGAACAAGGTGTACTTGCCATGAGTTGCCACCTGTCCTGTTATATGTTGGGATATCTGTGACAGCTGTCACGGTTACCAGGAGCTTCTGTTCTTGTGAGTCATAGTCAAAAGTCACATCCAGTGTGCCATACTTAGCTTCTGGCTCAGGGTCAAAGGGTTTGGGAAGCTGTGAAGATGATCCTTGAGCTGACATGTCCTACGAAAAGCAAATTTAAATGTTTTCAGTTTTAATTCTGTTATTTCATCTGGCATGTAATTAAACACCTGGTCTGTCTTAGGAAGAGGGTGTGAGAACTGTTTGGTTGGCTACCACCAAGAATGTGATAACAATCAACAGTTTAGTATAATCAGAAGCTACTCTACAGGGCCACGGTATCCGTGGTAAGCTAACCTCAAAAACTTATCAAAAAAGAATTTTGTATTCACCATTACAATTCTGAGAAAGTTGAGATATGTTTTTATAATAAGAACTGAAAATATATACTTCGATGTGTATCTCTGATCCTGTTGTAGGTACCTATTCAATTTTACTTCCAATATTATAAACAATGCAACTGACAGGTCAACATTAGGCTGGAGAGAGAGAGAACATAAAGTATAATGCTACTGAAAAAAACTGGTCCCATTTTCAGAGTTTGTTCTAAAATGTTCCCATCTATGATAGAATATAAACACATTTAGGCTTGAAAATCACTGGAAATGTGAAATTATAAACACAAAGAGGCCTCAAAATATTTGCAACCAAATACTTATTTTCTGTAACACACTAATTTTAATAAGAATTTAAAACTTATTTCTAATACTAATTACTGTTGAAAATGGCAGAATAATACGTATTTCAAAAGTTCAAGAAAGACAAAATCTGTTCATTTTAATTATGCGATTAAAAGAAATTGTGCCCATTTTACCTGGAATGTGAACAGAGTTTCAGCTAGTTATTGACAGTGTCAAACCCAGGTCTCTGACCTTTCAACTCTACCACCTGCTCCTTCAAGTATTTTAATAAATATTAAATGTTTTTCATTTTTAAGTGTGGACCAATTTTCTAAATTTTTCTGAACTTTTTACTTAGTAGCCCCTACTATTGACTTCTCTAAGGAACTACGTGAGTTTTAGCCAGTGACACGCTGTCTCGCAAGAGACTGTAATTCTAAATTTTCCTCATGGCTGATATGTCCATGAGGCTCAGCTTTGGCCAATGGGCAGCAAACAGAGGTTATGTATGAAACATCCAGATCAGGTTTATAGAAGAAATGCTTTGCACTTCACTTCCTTTCTCTCCCACTCTTCCCACAGAAGAGCAGACACTGAGACAGGATGTGTGGGTCAGTACGGACCCCGGGGACTAGGACAGCACCCTACAGATGACAGTGACAACAAAGAAGGAACTGGGCCCCTGAGCAAAGCCACCTACTCACCCTGGACGTTCGTAAGTGAAAGACGATCTTCTGTGAGTTTTATCCTTTGACTCTTTGTTCTAACAGCTTAATACAGATCCTAACTATTACACCTACTATGTGCCAAGCCCTCGTTTAGGTGGGAGGGATGTAGTAGAGGACTAAAAACATACAAGTTTTTGACCTTATAAATGATAAATATTACACATCTACCTACTATGACCCCCTTGGTAACATGTATGGAAAAGATGACAAATTAAGAACAATACTTGGGGGAGGGGACAAAGTCTCCTAGAAGAATTGTTTTTTATACAATATAATTCAATCAGAATAAACATATTCTTACTCTGTAAAAAAAAATACAGTTTAGAGCAAAATGTTTTAATGCATGCCATTTCACAATGGTAAATATACATGATTAATTGCAAGGCTTTGAAATTTCAATTAATTGTTTTTTTAAAATAGTGTCATGACAGCTATTTCCAGGGCAATAAAAATTTTTTTATAAGGTTCCAGATAGCTATTTCTGAATTTTGTTTCTCTTGGTGCATTCTCACAATTCTCATGACCTTCACAGATTAAGCTCTTATGTGTATTCTGCAAATAGGCAATTAGAAGATAACCCTCCCTCTCACGGTATCTTAATATAGTGTCCACCAGCAGAGTCTGAGCTCCTTTCCCAGCTCAGCAGTGTGAGTGGAGAGGCTCTAAGCCACATCCTGAATTAAACCAAGAGGAGAGTCAAGATTTTGTATTTCTTACTATTTATTAAAGGGATGGGAAGTAAAATAAACTTAAAAAACACGAGAGTGGACTTTATACTACCAGAGACTACTGGCATCTCAATATTTACGTAAAGTGCATTTGCTCTATTTGAATATAGTCAATTCTACTAGAAGAGACTGGTTAGTAGCTTCTGAAATATGGGCAAAACTCACCAGCTGTATTAACTATAGATAATAAACAATGAAGCAGCTTTGGAGGAGATACAGGCAGAATTCTGAAGATGTAGTAAATATAGTCACTAAGTAACTTGTAAGATAGACAGAAAAATAGAAAATATGATAGAACAAGTGAATATTACTTATTAAAAGGAAAGCCAAAGGGATGGGAAGCCCAAGCCAGGACCATGTCACTTCTGGGCTGACAGCTGTCACCCATGTGTTCTAGTAAAGAAATCAGGTCAAACCTATGCCAATTTGGTAGGCTAACTGGCAAGGTTCACTGGTGACCAGGAGTACTTGCCCCTGCACTGCGTCCATAAAACAAGTTATGTGTGTCTGGCCCTTGGCACCCCTGCTCCTAGTTCAACTCTTGTCCTTGCTACCACACCATAACCGGGGGAAACTGATGGGGCAGAAAGAGTGAGATGGGACAAATGGGCATCACATACACCAGGATTCACATAGCGTGGCCCTGCCACTGCGCCTGCGGGCATCCTGTCCTAAGTGGGGAACCTACCCCACCTGGATCCTCTCACTTCTTGTTTTCTATCTGAACATGTGGCAGTAGAGGCAAATTCAGCTAGTAAGAACAATGACACACTACAGTTCTACAGAATGTTGTCTAGGACAGAAGTTGTAAAAACTTGCAAATCTAAAAGAAAGAAATTTAAAAGTAAATACTACCTTATGAAACCCTCTAGATGACCTTTATAATTTTTACCTTTACAGAAATATTTTTAAAAATTCTTTTTAGAATATGGAAAGACGTCAAATGTGTAACGCCCCTATTTTTGGTGTAATTTTCACATTTTTTGCTCCAAAAAAGGAAATAACTTAAAACACAACCAATTGACGCCAAGAATTCAAATTTCATTAGTGAAGCTGAGCATGACTTATCTCTTCCATATTCTATGATATGAAAATGCAAAACTGTTATTTTGTGAAATATTAATGGGCAGCTTCCCAATATAAAAATATCCCAAATAAAATAAATTTTTAAAAGAGACAAACATAAATAGAAACCTCACTCATTATGAAACAAATACTTCCAGAATGTTTTTTTAAAAATCTATCTTGAGGTTGAAACTTGGGGGAAGCTAATTTTTCAATATTTTGTGTATTGCTCTCATTTTCAGCTCTCCATCTTCCTTTGGAGGGTGGGGGGCGGCTGCAGAATGGTTGAGACACTCCTGGTAAGTCTGCTGGTTAAAGATTAGATGGAGGATAGAAACTGGTACAATAAGCCACAAAGTGCTAAAACTTTCTTCTTACCAAGAGGAGAAGCACAGGATTATCAGTCTTCCAAGTAACATTCACAAAGAAAATTCTATGTGTTTTTACTTACTTCAGGGCTCAGGACTGCAGTGCTGTCACTCGGAACATCTTCTTCGTATCCTTTATTATGAAAACTTTCTATTTCGTGACCGGTGCTTCCTTCACTCGGGCACTTGTTATAGGAGCGTCTTGGGCTGTTGCTGCAGTGGGAAAATTCACATTTACTGTCCCCGATTTCTGAGGGTGTACATGAGAGGTGGGGAGACCCACTGTCATCCTGATATGGTGGGGGCTGCAGTTCGTCCAGTGGGGGTGTTCTTCTCATTCTCTGAATGCAGTTTCCTGAGAAGGAGTAAGAATCTGGTCACTGTTTCCAAGTAGCCTCAACATGCAGCACAGTCCACAATCATTGCAAATAACTTTAAAAAAAAACTGGATTGAAACATGTATGCTTCACTAAATTCAGATGCAGAAATAAGCTCACCGGATTTCCCACTCTCTCCTCCTGCACAGCGATATCAGGGGAAAATAAAATATACTCTCAAATACTAGAGAGAGCCAGTTATATAGCATAACAATGGGAGTGATAAATATTCGTGAAATAGCTTACCTAGTTCTTTCTTTCAGAACAAACCTGAAGCATCAGACTTCCTTATGATCGGTGTTCTCTCTAGTCACCGTAGGTAAAAATATTGTAGGTAAAACACATAAAAACTTCATTTGTTTTCTTCAATGACTGAGATGAACTTATTAAACTAGCATTCAGTTCAACAGCATCAGAAACTATTCTTCCACGTCTACCCTAGATCCGAATCCTGACACGAGGTGCCCTGGGAGTCAAGGCCCCATCAATCAGCAAAGGCGGAATGAAGGCTGCATTCCCTCCCATTCCATCTCCATGTCATCAACCGAGGCCACCCCCCGCCCCACGCAGCCTGGGCTCCATCTAACGTGGCTCCATCTCATCCTCAGCAGGTATCTCTGCCTCCAGCAGTTAATGTGCAACGCTTTTCCTTCACTCTAAATGGTCCTTTGAGTTTTTACCTCCACGGTATATCTCAATGGCTAAGGACATGTCTGTGAACAAGGATAGCCGTGGGAGCAGGAGGGGGGCGCGTAAGGAAACAGGGTTCAGTTTACAATTGCAGAACAGCTAAATCTGTGTAGGTAAACCCTGAATGCAACATCGGGTATTACATTTAAATACTGCTCAGTTTTTCTTCTAATGGACTATGCATCTCTGTCTCGAAAGGGACCCTGAAAAAAGGTAGTTTGTACTAGTCTTTTTTCCTCACTAGCTGTTGCACCATAATAATCCTCTGAACTTGCTTTGGTTGTGAGCAGCACATCATAACTTCTGTCTGGTAATATAATGTTACACGTTACTTCCTTTGGTTTATTTATGCTTATAGTGGGTAGCTCTCTAGCTGCCTGCCAACCAGGGTATGTCTACAGCTGAGCTCCGTCACCTGGCTCTTGTTCAGATGTAGTGTACCTGCACTCCAGGCAAGTTACCCAAAAGAGGGTCAGTGGTATTTAAAGATGCTAAGTAGGCTCCATGGGCAGACCTCACCACTGTTTCTGGATTTGAGAGAAACGATTTTAAAGCTGTGAATTGGAATATGCAAATTGTTTTAGAATATACAAATGACATACTACATATATTGGAATGTATAAATATATATAATTATAAATTACTATAAAAATCCTCAACGTTTTGAAAATAATACCTCCCTTTACTCTTTACTTTTCAAGTAAAAAAATGCCCAAATGTATGTGGAATAGGAATTTCATTAAAAAAAATAGTTATGAGGATTTCTCCTTTTTAAAACTTTTGCAATAATGCCTTTTTTTCTCAAATAGACAAACACATCATATTGTGCACACAGGATCTAGGACAGTGATGGCGAACCTGTGACACGCGTGTCAGAGGTGACATGCGCACTCATTTTTTTGGTTGACTTTTGTTTTACTATGGTTGCAAATATCAAAAAATTTCTATATGTGACACGGCACCAGAGGTAAATTAGGGTTTTTCAAAATGCTGACACGCCGAGCTCAAAAGGTTCGCCATCGCTGATCTAGAATAATAAAAGGGTAATATGCTAATTAGACCAGACATCCTTCCAAAGTTGCAGCGGGTGGGGGCCAAAGCCCTTGCACGAATTTTGTGCATCAGGCCTCTAATAATATAATAACTAAGAGTTGGCTTAAACTTAATTGATATTAGAAAACTTTAAAACAACTGTTTGACAAAATAACATAATGTACGTTATAGTTGTTATATCACATTGTAAACATCCAACCTTAAGAAATTCCTGGTAGGATGATCAAACACCAAAATGATGCTGCCCTATATTACTTTATCCCTTGTTTCATACCTAATTTCATGCACTGTTTTGTGGAAACAACATATCCATATAAGGGTTCATGCTTGGGTACATGTTAAGCATTTTAATTTGCTACCTATGGATTGTACAGCACCTACGAAACAAGACAAGGTATCCTCCAACCCTTGAGAAAAATACTGCATGCATGTCCACGGTGACCTGCGGGCCCTTAGCTGCAGCTCTAGGAGATGGTGGCCATCCAGCACCTGGAGAATTCACTTTGCAAGTGTCTCTGGAAACTTGCCCAAGTTGATTATAGACAGTGGGTAATAAATTAAGGCTCAACACATTTCACAGAACTGGAACATAAACAGGATGTTTTCTGACCACAGTAGAATTAAACTAAAATCAGAAATAGAACTTTAAAAATCTATAGAAATGTAGACAAAATAACTAGAAATTAAAACATACTGTTAAATAACCCATGGATCACAGAAGTCACAAAAGTAGAAAAAAATGAATATCCAGCAGAAGTCAAATAGAAAACATCAGCAAACCACAAAAGAATTCTTTGAGAACACTCATAAACTACTGGAAGAGACTAGTCAGGAAGGGAAAGAGATGGCATAAATTACTAATATTAATATCTAGAATAAAACAGGACATTTCAAATGCCGTGTCAAAGCTCAAATAGGATACGGAGGGGGTGCACACATAGGTAGCCCTGCACAGCACGTGGAGCCCAGGCGGGGTGAGGCAGCCCAGAAGCAGACCTCAGCAGGGGAAGAAGGTTCCCCACGGAGGAGTGTGCCTACACTGAGCGAAGGGAGCAACCCTGCGAGTGGAATCACTGCCCAATAGGACCAGAACCCTGGAGAAGAGACTGGGTATCTGTCAAAGCCCAGGAAGAGGCATCTACACAGGCATACGTACCTGGTGAAGGCATCCACGCAGACAGGTGGCCTGACGAGGGAAAACCAGAGCGAAGTGAGTGGGGGGGGGTGTCCTTGTGTGGTGGTGGCCTGGATTGTGGTGTGAGGACCCAGGTGGGGTGAGGAAGGCAGCTGTGTGAGGAGAAGGGGGAAGCCTGGAGCCTGGTGTAAGACCCCAAACAGGAAGTTAGAGCTTAGGTGGAGTGATGAGAACATCCCATGGGGCAAACCGGCCTGGGTGTCATGACACCCCCAGGGTCCCGGGGACATGCCCCAAGGACACGCACAAGTGGGAAAGCCTGCCTGGGATATCAGAACCCAAATGAGGTGAGGGGACATGCATACAGAGAGAGGGGCATTAACCAAAAATATGTACAGAAAGGTTCATGAAAGCCAGGTCTCTGGCTTCCATTATTAGAGAAGGGAGTTACAAATGTGGAAAGGGAGAAAAAACTAGAACAAACTCCATCATGTTGAATTAGAATTGAAGATATCAGTGTGAACTCAGCTTTTAAATAATAGGTAGAAGCAAATATAGTGTAAATATTCATATAATTTGTATGTATACACACACACACACACACACACACACACACTTCAGAGTACCCTGGGAGGATTTTAAGAACAAGGCTGCCCGCCTCCGTGGCGAACCTTCTTCCCCTGTCCACTGGGGGAATTTCAGAACCATATTTCAACCAGTGAGCATACCTAGAGCCCAGATCTTGGCTTCTAAATCTATTCTTCACTAAAAGGAACCAGAACTCCATGAAGAAATGGCTAATTCCAGGGCTGGGAAAGGAAAAGCATGAGGCAAACTTAGAAAAGCTTATTGTCTAGAGTAGGGACATACTCAAAGAATGATGGGGACACGTCCACAGGACACAGAAGCCAGCTGGAAGGGGTTAGCACTGACCAAATCCCACTAACAATCTGAGCTTCAAAATAAAGAATTTTAGTAACTATTTACAACACATTGAGGGAAGGAGGAATGCCATGAGTCCATCTAGATATAAATATTTGAAAGAACTTTAAGGAACAGGTTATGGACATAGTTACAAAGTACCTTCTGACAAAGTAATTATTAATTAACGAGAGCAACTTTACAGTGAGAAGCCTCGTAGATACACCTCCCTAACGGAGAGATCCAAGTGGGCATTATGAGTAATGGGACAAATCAAAATGGTGCATCACCTCATAAGAAGCAGTGAGAGGAATACAGCACCACTCTGTGGCATTCCAGCTCAGGATGCACAACCCGAATCTAACCGTGAGAAATGTCAGACAAACTTAGATATTCTAAAAAGGAAAGGCCTGCATCTTCAGGAACCAATGACTGAGGAACTGTTCTAGATGAAGGAGTCTAAGGAGGCGTGACAACTAAAGGCGAAGCATGATTTTGAACAAGACCCTTTTGCTATAATGGACATTATTTGGAGCGCTGTTGACCATGAGTGGGTTCTGAGGATTAGATATAATAATATATCAATGTTAGTAACTTAATTTTGATGGTTGTATAGTGGGTATTTAGGAGAATACTCATTTGTAGAAAATATACACTAAAGTACTTGGGGATGATAAAGCAGCTGGTCAGTGGGCCACTTATTGTCAAATAGTTCAAGGGGGTGAAAGGGACTCTAATATCTTTCCAACTTCTGTTAATTTTGTGAATGTTTTTAAAAAAAATCTCCATTAAAAAGACACCTTCATACTTTCTGAAAATAAATTTGAAAATCAGATGATTTAGACAAATTCCTAGGGAAACACAACCTATCAAAACAAACTCATGAAGCAGCAGGAAAATTATATATTATTATATCCTTTACAGAAATTGAATGCATATTTTAAAACCTTCCTAACAAAGACAATTCCAGACCCAGATGGCTTCACTGGTGAATTTACCATTTAAGGAAGTAAAAAACACAAATCTTATACAAAACATTTCAGATAATATGAAAAAGAAAATATTCCTGAAATTATTTAACCTTAACACCAGCATAACCTTGATACCAGGACCTGATAAAATATCTTATAAAAAATAAGCCAATCTATCTTGTAAACATAGATATAAAAATTCTATACA